CCCCCCCCCTCATTACCCCTTAACATCTCCAAATTACCCATTTCTCTTCAACTAAAGACTATAAAACTGCTAATGAAAGAATGAATCATTGTATAGTAGCGTCACCTCGGATTTTGTTTTCCACTACAAAATGAACAAGAGTTTCATGATATAATGATCGCTCTATTTCATCACCACTCTTACTTTATCTTCCATTTATAATGGTTCATAAATTTCGCAATTATACTTAAAATATGCCCTCAAATTGCAACTCCCTCCGGATGTATTGAAAAAAACAGTAATCATTTTCGCTGTTGCTAATATTTTCTGTTGGGAATTCAACTAAAAATATTGAAATTACCAAATAAACTGCTAAAACTATGCAGTGAGATTAAAAAAGCAAAAACGATCGTCCTCCACGAAAAAACTAATTGTGCATTTAAATTAGAAGCACAATAAAATATTCTACACAACGAAAGAGATGCCCCGGAGACCAGAAGAAAGCCATTGGCTACCATATTCCTCGAGCCTAATCTTGCACTGACCACTGATCCATCCATCCACTGAATGATCGTCAAACTTTGTTCAGTTGATTTTTGACAGTGTTGCGAGCAGGAATAAGTTCAACAATGTTATAACATTGCTCAAAGATTATTTCAAACTTCACTAAATTGTATACTTTAAACCTTTCGTTGGTATGTCAATCTTAATTCCATTTTTTGTGTTGATGACGATTCTTTTGATGACGATTTTATTTCAAATAGTGCAATATTTTTAATATGCTTACAGGTGCTCCTTTCACTCAACTTACTGCAATTTCCGTATATGCACATTAATGAAAGTACTGTGCTCATACCGAATTTCTTGTTTTTGAGAAATTACTTCTTTGGACAAAAAGCATACATTGACTGTCATTCGTCTTATTTATCTGCTGCATTTTTAAATCAGCAAACAGAATTAAAATTTCTGCAAAAAACACTAAAGCTTTTATTTTGGAAGTGACACATCGAGTCCAGCAAATGTTTCGAAAAACAATTCGCTGAATTAACTGAACCATAGCACAATCACATTAAACAATCCACTTTGTACATTCAGTTGTGAACGAACTAAAGACGATTTTAAACTGGAAAATGAGCAGCAAGTAAATAAATTGGTGTATATACAAATAAAGACCGGAAAATTAAAAGATGCACATGATAACGGTTTTAATGTTAATGTATGTTGTGTATGAGTGGAAATGCAAATCGGCATTTGTCAGCAAAAACACCAAATAATAATGTCGCATTCTTTAGTTCAATCAACTGCTGAATGCAGTTCAGCTCAACATAATCCTCATCTCGTTTTATGCACTTTCAAACGTGTTCATATTCGATCAAGTTCGATTATCTGATCGTAAACCTTCTCATTAAATCGACGAATCCAGATAATTCAACCAGTTGATGATGTTAATATTGTTGCGCAACCCATCATCTATAAATAATGATTTTGTTGTCATGCGGCAACAATAAACTGTTGCTGTTCGGAGATAATTCGTTGTGGAAAGTGCAAAAGTACTCATTCAGTGACAAATTTCAGTCGTTTTAATGATGAATATTCTCAATCTGAAAAGTTTGATCCATAAATAATGGCTTTATTGCGGATGGAATTACAGCCATAGTAATGATGATGCTCGCAAGTATAAAATGGCATGCTCTGTATAAATTACTATCAAATATGTCTGGACGTTGTGTTCGCTTTGCATTTCACTGATGTGAGAATTATACATTTTGAAGCAATTTTTTGGTGTTCGCCAAACGATCCCCTTTTTAATGCACTGCTTTCATGCACTCCATACCCAGAATAAGTTCTATAACAGAACAACTCACCATGGATTCAGCAATATGTCAGTTGTTGCTGTTTCTAATATAATTAGCACTATGATCATTATTACGTTCCTTGTTGTAATCGTTATTTTGCTGACGAGAGTTGCTTTCAATATGAATGTTTTTATTATTATAAATATTGTCATTATTTAATCACTGTCGAAAATGCTGATATTTTTATCGTGCTGAGTACTGGAAGGATTTTTTTGCCGATCAAACGAGTCCACCATGAACATTGTGGTGGCGTTTTATTTTATGAAACAATTCTTTCAGAGTGTGCCGCTCTTGAAAATACGATTCGATAACTGACTGGCATAAATATGCTCTTACAATCCATCGCCACAGGTAATCATCGCTTTCTGGTCAGTGTCATTTAAGGACTGCCGTCCGAACGCAGTCATACCCTAATGACCAAAAAATGACTGTGACGTTCGATCATTGAGAATTTTCGTTCAATTTAGCAAACATAGCAACCGACTATGTACAAAAGTGGTTTGGTGGAGAACGAAAGTGGTTCTAAAATTGATGATTCCAACCACTTATGGATGATTTTCACTGAAAGTTTCATTATTGTGCGAGTGAAAAATAACCATTTGCAACAGTTATTAAAGCGATAATATACTAAACTGAATAGTTCAAATTTTCATCGCACATATCCGTGTGATCATAGAGGTTGATCTGATAAATTGATTCCATTTAGTACTCGTCGTCGCGTTCTGTTGTTGTAACATTGGATCGGTTTATGGTACTGACTCGGAGACCACTAACGATGGGCAGCAGTGAGTCTTTTTCTCTTTCAGATTATTCAACAAAGAAAACTTTCAAGATTTAACATTATTGCAAAATGTGCACACTGAAATGTTGCGCCGGGGAAGTAATGTGCTACACACGAAACTTCTAGCTTTTCAACTGCTGAGACTGTTATGACCAAGTTTATAGTGACCTTGCAAAAAGTGATATGGGAATGAATTGGAATTACTGTTGATCTGTTTATCATTGAAGAGAGACCTACCTACCTCATTGCTGATTCGAAACCAAGTTTTGTTTTCATTCAGAGGCAATACGACATACAAACTGACCTATTTCAATGCAAGATTTCGCGCCGAATGTGCAAGATTAATATTCGCACAAGCCGGAGTGCCGTATGAAGATAACCGGATTTCGCACGAAGAATGGGAAAAAATCAAACCAAGTGCGATTTTTTGTTTGCCTTCGATCAAAAACGAACGTATTGAAGTTCGATCCTGTAGGCGAGCTCACGACTGCAATTTTGTGCCAACTTACATGCCGAAAAAGTTGCTTGAAATCGCCGAATGATACGAAACCGTTAAAGAGCAGTTGAGAGCTGTTGAAAGAGCTTTTGCAAACCGCTGTTTAAAGAGCTTTTGAAAAATGCTATCAATGTTCAGTTCTTCAATGAAAATGTTGACAAATTTGAGAAAACAAATCGATTCTCGAACTTCTTTCACGTGTTACAATTACTTCATACTGCTTGCAAAGAAGAACTTGCAGTGGTATAGATTCGTGAAGAAATGTTTTATTGTTTAGCATCGTTGGTAATTGAAGTGAATATTCAATGTGTTTTTAGCCACACCGTTTGGACATTTACCGCTACTTGAATTTGATGGCAATCAACTAGGCGAAAGCTATGCCATCAACAGATATCTGGCGAGAACGTTCGGTAGGAGGCTAATTATTCATTCATTCAACGAACTTCTTTTGATAGGTTATGAATTTTGAGAGTACTGCTACCATCAGTTGAATAACTGAAAATCACTTGCGTAGATCTCGTAGAACTCAGCATACGTAATGATGCCAAAAGACACGACCACTAAAGACGTCCACTAGACAGCGGGCTGTAATATGCATCCGGTGATTCATCCGACTCTTAAGTTAAAGCTTCAGTTGAAATGTCTTCGTTGTTTAAATTGTTACCACGAGAGTGTTTGTTGCACACGGTCCCGGTACCATAATTGGGGCACTTTAACAAAAACGAGTATTTAAGTAAATGATGATAATTTTTGGAATGAGATTCGTAAGTCAAGAATTTATGTTTCGCCAAATTCGTGATACAATCTTGCAGGTTTGGCCGGCAACAGTTCGTTAGAAGAAGCTTACATTGATTCGATAGCCAGTTCGTTCAAGGACTTCTTCGAGAGTACAATAAAAGCGGTGAGAGCATTAGCACGAAAAGAGAACGTCAACGCGGTATGTCTCATTCGAAATGCGCCTTACTCCGTCCGTCAAAAATTGCAAAACGCTGATGTTCACTGTGTAATGCGTAGATGAACATCATTCCATCATGAAAAATTCACACTTTGCAAAAGACATTCGAAAATTTTGTTGTGATTTTGCATAGAGAAATTCTCAACGTAAATGTGCAATAAATTCATTCGTATCAATCAATCCACATTCTTTATTTATATCATTAAATACTATTCAATTAACCATAATAGTGTTCACTCATTATTTCAGTCCACTATGGAGACAATCGACAAAGCACGAGGGCAGTTCATGCCACCACTTCAAAAATTTTTGGACAAAGCTGGTAGTGGATATGTGGTCGGGAAATCGTTGAGTTGGGCCGATCTCTTAATAACCGAATATTTGGCAACAATTCAATCAGTCATTCCTGATTTTCTCAAAAACTATCCAACAGTTGAGAAGTATGTAAATGACGTACGCAAGTTACCGAATATCGCAAAATGGCTCGAAGAACGCCCCAAAACTCCGTACTAAGAACTGGTTTAGTTGCATAATCGTGTTGCGTGACTCTCGTCGTATTAATGATGCCCGCAGGACACTCTTCTTAATAATATATTATTGTTCTTTTATTCGTGTTCTTAATGACGCATAAATTTATTTTTTTGCATCGTCATCTTGATAGCACTTCAACAAATGAGCGTTGGTGAGAAACAATATATTTTCTGGTGAATAAAATTGAAATTACAAGCCCTTAAAATGACAGAATCAAATTTGTTGACATTCGAACGTACATACTACCTTCCTTGTTAACTTGATGGATGACTGTCAAAAGAGGGTTGTCGACTCAACAACATAATAAATCTTTTTTGTAACTAATTGTAAGGTCAGGCTCTATCTAACAATAAGTATTCCTGTCGAGCTTTAGAATATGCGCGGTGCAACTGTGTTTTCGGAAGAAACTGACATTTTTCGTGAATGTTATTGAATAAACGTGATGAGTTTGATCACGAAATCAACTTTTCCATCATACGGAAAGCAGTGTACATGAAACAATCACGCTTTCAGAAGTTAGACAAAGCATCTCGGTATGTACATGTTATATAGCATGAAATACAGAATACAGTTCCAACCAGAACTGCCAAAGTCTTACACCAGTGGTTCTCATAGGGGGTGTAATTACCCATTTTGGGTAATTTCGGGGTGCCGGGGGAGGTAATGGATGGGTTGGAAAATTAGATTTCGTGCAGTTATTATGTTATGATAGAACGCCGTTATGAGGTTGTTTTTTCACTTGGGTATGTAAATGCGGTTAGTTCATGGCAGCACTCTTCTTTCTCCTATTTCCTGAGTATTGTTAGCTCGTCCGGGCCGAACAGGGCTTTCGTTCATTTAACGTTATACATAGAAATAGTAAGTTCTTGTATAATCATAAGAAAGAACTGATGCTTGGGAATAATAAATTCTTGCAGTGGAGAGAGAGGTAACGACGGTCTGCCAGATCATCGAAGAGTGCAGTGAGCTCCCGAGCAAGAGAACCACTGTTCTGGAGGCTATTCGCCAATAGGACTGTCCACTTCCTTGGAGATTCGCGATTCACAACTGAGGTTCTTTCTCATGAATTCTAGCCCTCATTTCCACTATAAAATACCGCTGCAAACTAAACACAATGATTCCGAAGTGACTCTGCTACGAACTAACTGTTCGTTCAGCTCATGTTCTTAATCCAGATTCTTTTCATTATAATCTAATTAATTTTAATAGTGTGGTTAATTACGTTAATTATTTGTGTAAATGGTACTTAATTTGCGTGAAATCAACAAACTTAGCATATTCATGAGGTGAACCTAAACTCTTTTCCAAAGTTTGCTTTTCCCAGAGCCATATTTGCGCTTTTTTGTCATTTTCGGGTACTTTTTAACAAATGATGTGATTAGATCTCGTAGATTTTGCATTCAGCAAGTTTATTGTTCAATGACGTTTCTCATTAAATGAGATGATAATTAAATTAAGTAATTTTCTTTACAACCTTAATGAAAGCTTCTTGAGAATGTTGCGTTTTTTAGTAGAAAATTGGTGTAGTGAGAAGGTTGAAGTATTTTCGTTCTTCTTCATTGTTGATGTATTTATCGGCCTGCAGAATGCGTTTATGGAATATAATCTAATGGTTTATTACCTTCAGCTGCTCAATGGTCCGGCTAAGCAATCACGAAATCACCGAATTTTCGCAAGGAACAATGGCCATGCACATTTTCACAAAGGCTAGTTGTATTACCCCTCTATCTTTTTTCTTGTTTCATAACTTTTTCCGTGGTCCTTGGCTTTACAAAATGGGTGGAAATGGTCACTGAACGGTTCATGCATATTGATCCATCAATTCATAGTTGGATCAGAGGCACAGGCATTGCATTTCCTAGCACTCTTGTAGGTGTTCGGATGCAGTGCGGCCGGGAGAATGGGCTGATAACCCAAGGAGAAATCCTATCCCGGTACCGGGTGAACCCGGCGTTCGTACCGTCAAACTTCCATGTTTTCATGGA